TCCACCTTTTTATCTGTTTTCAAAAGTGTATTTTACCTCTTTAATCATTTATATTTTTCACAACATTTTTATATACCTTGCCCTCTTTTATCCTTTACCTGAAATTCTCTATATTTTTAACAAATACTATCATATTTATATCAATAATGGAAAAGTATAAAAGTTAAGTAGACTTTCCCCAAGTCACATTATAAGTTATTACTGAAGTTGAGCCACAAACCTAGATCTTAATAAACTATTTCTGAAAACAGGCTACACTTTCATGTCAAGACCTCTTTGCTGAACTAAGAGTTGTCATCTTCTTGTCCTGATTTACCGTAAACGTATGAGTCTGCTGTTAGTCCCTGCCTTCAAAGCCTGGGACCACATCACTCATCACTATGAGAACAGACAGAACGCACTTGCACTCATGGCAGGCATTTTTCTGAACCGCATGTTGGAACCAAGGTTTGGTCATATGTAAACCTTATCTTCTAATAGACTGACACAGTTTTAGAGATGTCTTTCTTAGCGTTCTGCAAGTAGCAATAGGACCAAGTATTTCTTCCTTGTCTTTCTGTATTAATTGAAGGATAAAAACAAACAATGCAAATAATCATTTTCTAATTAATTTTTTGGCTTTGTTTTATAACTTTTTTTGGCAACTGGGTATTTACTGTAAACTTCACTCAAGTTCATTAAATTCCTAAATGTGAAGGAAAAGGTTTACTCAGTAGTATATTTTACAACAAACCCAGTGTTATTCATGTACAGACTGTTTAAGAAAACAGATTTTAAAAAGAACAGAATTCTGAGAAATCACTCAAGGAAGAAGGATCTCTCTTGAACCAACCTGCTCCCTGCCCCAAATGTATCTCACTTAAGAAAAATAGACTGGCTACACAGAAACATTTGAACAGCAGAGATTTCAAATATTTTAAAGCTGTTAACCAGGGTATGGTTCCTATTTTAAGAGGATCAGATCTTAGAATGCAAGTTTCTGTACAAAAATGCAAAACCACACACCTGACACGTGATGAATGACGGCAGCAACCAGACGGGGAAGCATGTAACGCAGAAGAGGACTGACGTCATATGTCTCAGAAATGCCGTGAAGTATTGTAATAAGATCGGGAACATCACACAGGTGAGTAAACGGCCTTCGAAGAAGCAAGCACATATGATGTTGACTTTACAAGTCAGACAACAAACAGCAATATAAAAAAAAATAGTATGTCACCTATCTTACAAAAAAATTATTCAAAATAATCTCATTCGCCTCTAACTAGCATCATTTCCCAATTCAATCGTACATACTTTTTCCCAAGGCTCTCAGGCTTCTGTCTCTGCAGGAGCACTATCAAGGAACCTAATCCTTCCTTGATCAAAGAGGGAATCTTGGTCAATGTTTTGATGATCTGTGATGCCAATGAATTAACAACGGTATCTTCCATTGTCACTTTCACAGAAATCTGACATATTATCATGTACGTTGCAGCTCTGTAATCTGGCAAAGATGATTTCAATCCCTAAATATTTTTTAAAATACAAGTAAAAATGATAAATTGTATTAATTTCTTCTACTTAAAATGTTACTTTACCCCGAGGAACTAGAAATGTCCTAAGTTAGAGATTAACGCAACCTAACGCACACTGAGAAGCAGCCAGTCTTCAGAAGTAGAAAATGAAGGTGTTGACCCCTTTTCCTGAGTGGACACGGAGATGAGACAAGTCTCTTGGATGAGAGGAGGGATCTAAGAAAGTCTCAAATATCCACCGCCCGTCCTAACAGGAGCCAACAAGCTCTTCTTTCGTATGCAAACACCTATCAGTGGATGGGAAACCTTTCAATCAGATCACCGCCAGACATAAAACCGTATCTGATTGAAGACAATAGTTTGGGACACTGATAGGAAGCGAAAGGCAGTACCTCCATGGGGCATCTGGGAAGGCGGCAGGCAACAAGGCACGTGGGAAGAAGAAACACCGAGAAGCAGAGGCCAATGCAAAAAGAATGCTAAGAGGCTGCCGAGCCTTGAGGAAACTGCCTACTCCATTCTCTTTCCAGCGAGGTAAAATGACAGCGAAGAAAACAGATCTGGGAAAGAGTGGCGGGGTCAGATAGCCAACATTTATTCTCAGAGTCCTGGTTAAAGGTCCCTCTCTGATGTATTTTTAAGACTAAAAAAGTCATAATTTTTTTTACCTAAAGATTAAATCTCATCAACCATCTGAAATACACTATCAATTTAAAGACATTTACATCTAAATGAAATTTTCAAAGTAAGAAAAGCCCTTATAGTACAAAATAATCCACTTTATACATCAGCAGAGCCAACCTTCTGGATATATGGAAATAGTTTGGCGACTATGTTGTCCGATATGTGCTCCGCAGCCACTAGAGCAGACACGATGGTAGTAGCATAGAAAGCCAAGAGCACCCGCAACTGAGCCGAGCTTCCTGGATACTCAGCAAAAACCTGGAACAGGGAACACAAACCAAACACATTTAACAGTGAAAGACCAATTAGATAAAAATATTTATATACAGCTCTCCTGAGCTACTTCAGGCTTTGACATTTTAATTTTTACCATAAGGAATATAGAATTAAATACACAATATAACAAGAACGAACTGCCTAACAATCTACTTGACGTTTTTAGATTGTATCTTTGTTTAAATAGTCACTGTAACTAGAATTTGGCAAGGGATTGACTAATATATTTTTGTACAAAAACACCTTTCATGAGAAAAGACTGATCCTCCAGCTGCTCTTACTCGAAAACCACAAATAATTTAACAAAAGAAATTTCTTCAAAGTATCATTGCTATTAGGAAAGGCTTTAGTATGTTTTCTTCATTCAGAGCAAACAATCTTTTCAATGAAATTATACATGTACATTCACAAAACAACATACTACTCACCTTCACAGATTTCATCACCAGACTACAAATGAAATCCATGAATCCAAGATCTTTGTAGCAGTGGGTAATCAAAGTTCCTTTAGCTAAGGGCACTCCAGATTGCTGTTATTAACAGAAAGAACAAACTATCAATTGATCGTTATTTTAAAGTACCCACCCTAGTAACATTTTCACATTGCTGCAGTTCATAAATACAAGATATAATCCTTCCTTATAACTGGCTGTGGTGATGAAATTAACACATAAAGTCTTGGAATCTTTACAAACTCAAGAGATCAGCAATGCGGGGGGAGGTACTCAGTCAAAAACGCTTATCATGCGTCGTGTTTTGATATGCATTTATCTAAACCTGGATTCTCTAGATTCTGAGTAGTTCTACTGGTTAGATTTGGGTTTTCAGCCAATGTGATACTTTTTTAAAACTGCTTTACAATAACACTAATAACAGAATTAGACCAGGAACTCGGCCAACGGATACCACTGTCCCCACCACATAGTATTGCACATGGTTATGTCTTAGGTGCTCAATAAATATTGAATACATCAACAAAATGAGAATTAGAGGTGAACTTTAATAGGCAGGTGAGGTTTGGACACTTGGAATAAGAGTGTCCAGGGAGCAGCAGTGTCTATGTGCAGACCAGGGGAAAATGACCTTGATGCTACAAGCAGAGTGAATGTTGGGAACAGCAGTTTGATAAGAAGCCTTTCCACAGGTTGGCCTTGAACATTTTTTAGTTCAAGTGCCTTACATCCCAGATTCGTAAACTCTCCTCCTCATTTAAAGTTCCCCACTCCTTCCTTCTTACTCATCCCAATCGCTGACCTTGCTATCACCATCCGTTAACGCTCTGCACAGCCCCACCCCCTGTGAGCCTCCTTCCATCCCCATTTGTCCTCCTCCCAGAAGGGGTCGCCATGCAGAGCATGCAGTTCCTGCTAACAACACACATCTACTTTCCTTTAGTACATGCTGCAACAAAGCACTAGTGGCAAGTCAGGGGTTTCACCACAATAGTGCACCATCTGATTTACCGAGACCCTTCCAGTTAGGCACCCATCCTTCTATTCACCTGTAAATTAATTCTTAGCATCTTCTCCACAACTTTAATAATTTCCTGAAGCTCTTCAGGTTATTCTCATCCCTTTAATTTTTGTAAGTATTTTCTGCCTTTCTTCACCTCCAACTTTTTTAAAGCTCTTCAGTTCCAAAATTTAAAATGTCAAATACCATGGTATAGTGAAGACACAGACTTTAGAATCAGAATGGGATTCAAATTCCAAATATGCCCCTTTATAGTTATGTGAACTTTGGCATGTAATTTAATTTTTGGAGCCTATCCTCATCCATAAAAATGGAGTTTTGTGAGAATCCAATATAATATAAATTGCCTGGCCTCATGTCAGGTACTAAATAAAAGCTAGATAATATTAGATAATATTAATAACTGTTTCAACTGGAAGTTAGGAATAAAAGTGATGGAGTTAATATTTGGACTATCCCTAGGAGCACTAATGACTTTATTTTTTCAAAATTACATCCCTTAATCAAGACTTGTAATAATTAAAAACATGTCACTCAACAACCATACCTTAACTGGTAACAACCAGAACCATTTGTGCTTTGAACTATTAATTTTTAGAAGCTGTATAACCCGCACAAATATTCTTGTCTCGTGGTATGGCAGAACACAAGCAATGAGACTATCTTCATTATAAAGATGGATATGAAACCTGGGAAAAAAAGCAAACAATTCAAATTGACACAAAACTTATAGCACCTATCTCCTTACATGCACAAATTACATATCAATGAGCTAAAAGTACCTAGAATGAATATCAGTAAAACCACCATGTCACCACAATCATCATACAGGGCACTTAAATGATAAGCCCTCTATTTTGCATTCTAGTTCACCTGAACATGGTTCTGCCAATTCTTTTCTTTTTTTTTCCATTTTTAAAATATTTATTTGAACATACTGGTGGGGTACAGTGTGATTTTTCTATACGTGCATATACTGTACATTGATTATCTTAGAGTAGATAGCACAGCTCTGTACCTGTTAATCCATCACTTCCCCTCCAGACCCCTCCCCTTCTGGCCTCTGGTAACCATTATTCTACTCTCTACTTCTATGAGAACCACTTTTTAAAAAAAATTAGATTCATATACGAGATCACGTGGTATCTGTCTTTCTGTGCCTGGCTTATTTCACTTAACATGATGGTCTCTAGTTCCATCTGTGTTGCTCCAAACTGCCAATTCTCATGCAGCAATAGTTTTGAATATTCAATATCAAACTTTATGTCCCATTCACTTTCTGTCAACTTTTTAAAAAACCTATTCTTATATTAACATAAGGGGGATCACTGAGTCATATCTACATAAAAGCAACTGGCCAAGCAGGTGGCAAAGCTCAGGTTCTCTCCATACTCAAAGTCACCTTCCACAGTTTTCTTAACTACGTTACTTCTAAAACCAAAAGACTAGTTAAAAAGAAAGTCATATTACATCCCTTGGATAAAAAAAATTAACAATCACAACAATATGTAATTTGTATCAGTCCCTGTACCCTAACATAAGATAGATTCATTGTCAGATACATTAAATCCTTCCCAGTTTTCAAGGCCTTGCTCAGATGCCTCCTCTTTCAAGATGCTTTTCCTAATTTTCATTCAGCCAGTTGAGCCCTCTTAGGTTTATCTAAACTCTTCTATCCTTTTACATGTACTTACCTTATAGTACCATACCACTCTGCCTTTTGTTAGTTTTATACAAGGCTTTACTGCTAGCCAAGACGTTACTTCTTCTGTGAAGCTTTCCTCAACTACTCCAGGCCACACTACATCCCCAAAACTTTGCGTAAACTTCTATTATGGCATTTATTTCAAAACAGTAACCAAGGGCAAACCTACTCATCCATATATCAAACCCAGTCTTTGCTGAATAAATACAATCAAATGCAAAAAGTACCCCTTACATTAATGATCTATTTGGGGAAAATTACCAGCTAGACAACAGAGGGAAATATCACAAACTTTTGAACGATCTTTTTTGTCTGATGAGTCTAATGTTCTGATAGTCAGAAGACCCAAGTTAAAGATTGTTTTCTCAGTGACTCACTTGCTTCCTGAAAGGAAATCACCACACCCCCATGTCTCCAATTAATGAAATGGAAATCTTTCTACTTTTAAAACATGTATATTGAAAGAATAAACAAAAATGTGTAAGCTGTGATGTGATGCCAATAAGTGAGAAAATAAACTAAGTAAACTTACTCAGATAATTTCCAAAGTGGCTGAAAGAGCTAACCTTGGAAACAAACTTCAGTTGTGTCCCAGCTCAGCCAATTACTTGTGTGACTCAGGCAACTTAACCCTTTTAAGCCTCAGTTTTTTGCAACTGTCAAATGGGTATAATACAAGTATCTCCCCATAGGAATGTTGTGAGAATTAAGTGAGATAACACACGTAAAATGCTTACCACAGGGCCTGGTGAGTAAATGCTCAACATACATTAGTTATTACCATTTTTCTTAGGCTATGGTATTTTAGAGGATACTGCTACCTTTTCCCAAAACCACTGCTGTTATTTTGGCAAGAAAGAAGTTGAATACCCACTGTCCCAAGTGTGCAGGAACAATCTAATGGCAAACTAATAAGAGCTCCTTAGAACTAATGAGGTAAGAACATCTACTCAATATCTTCAGTGGTACTATTCACCATCAACGAACACGAATTTAAAAGCAGAAGAGCATGCTTATCTCATGTAAGACATCTTATTAATTTCTTAATATACATAATTTTTCAGCTTTAACTGGATAAGTGTTTTCAACTACTTAATTTTACAAAAGAGCAAAGTGGATAGCCCATAGTTATTTTTGTGATTCCATTAGCTACCTGTGAATCAACCACTCCAGACATTTCTGTGCTGGCTTAAGCAGGAAGTAAGGTGATAAGTGAATAAGGAATAATGAAAGGTTTTCATCCAGCTGTTTGTTCACTGCTTTGGTCTGAACGCTGCGCTCCAAGGTTTTTGCTAGCTGGCTGAACAACGGTGCTTCAAACTGCTCAAAGGAAGGATCAATTGCAAGCAACTCTTCAAGTCCTGTGCATCCTAGAAAAAAAGACAGTTTATTTAACAATTCCTTGCAAGCAAATTCATACCACTCCTCTTTTACAGTTTTACTTACCCCTAAAAGTTTCTGAATTCTTTTAGCATGTAATATACAGCTCCAAACACAGAATTCTAGTTTTCACCGTATAGAATCAATGTTATCTCATCAGCTAGGAGAACAGAACGCACTTCGTGGAAGAAGCCATTTCTTCTTGTTTTATCTCCATATTTTTGATATCCCTACAATAACTAGGCAGCCCTCTGGGAAGATCCCTCCTCCACCGCAACCACTGCCTCCGTCCTCTTTCAGCTGTCCTTCCTTTCTCCATACGAGTATTAGTTGCCCTCCCTGACGAAGTCCCTTCGTCTGGGTAACTTAGATGCCACTACCTATATGCATTTCAAGCATGTAGCACGTGGCTATGTTATTCTCTTTCTCTTACTAACGCAAGTCGACAAGTTAAAAAAAAATGCTAAGGAAAGGGGGTGGGGAGCAGAAGAGGAAAGAAAATGAAACCACATTCAGTAAACAAATGTTTCAAAGCTTTTCCAAGTTAATGGGCAGCTCACCGATGGCAAAGGCGGTGTCCCTGTCGATGGTGGCCGCTTCCTTGGGGTCAAACAGCAGAGAAGCAACTTCATGTCTGGATAAGAGGCTGGGATCACTCTGGGGGAGGGCGAGTCGCTGCAGCTGCTGGGCTAAGGACGTCATCTTTCACGCCAGCGGATTTCTAAAGACACAGGCTGAGAAACATACCCACCGTGAGAGGGTCTCGACGAAGCTCCAAGAGCGTGGCCGCCCCACGGGTTCTCCCACTCAGCAGACACCCGGACAACCCGCGGACGCCTCACCCTCCCTCGGTAGAGCGCCCCAGTCCGCGGCCACACCGAGCGGCTCGGTGCTCCTCGTCACCCGGAGCTCGGAATTAAGGGAGGACTTACGAGCCGACAACTCTTCACGGCAGCTCCCACATGGTACCAAGCCGTCCAGCCCTGTCCCGGAAACCAAAAGCATGCCTCCCAACAGCTTCCGGTTCCAGGCCCTACGGCAAGAGAAGAGGTACAAGCTCGCCGGAAATGCGACAGTAGTCCCGCCTCCAGAGACGAAGTTCCGCCTCCCACCCTCCTCTCGAGACGAAGCCTCGCCCCCTCCCCGGAAATGTGACGAGTAGCCCCGCCTCCCGAGACGAAGCCCCGCCTCCCGCCTCCCCAGACGAA